TGGCTTTTAGTAGACATCTGAATGAAAGAGTGAGCCTTATGAAGCTCTGGAGGAAGAATGTTTAGGGCCAAGAGAACAGCAAATGTAAAGGCCCTTAGTTAAGTCTGACAGATATGAGGACATGCAAGACCAATGAGATTAGAGCAGACAGCAAAAGAGACAGTGAGAGAGCAAAGTTCAGAAATGAAGGTCAGAGAAATAAGCAACAGTCACATAATGAAGAATAAACCGCAAATTTTATTCTAGATATGAAGGGAGGTTACCGAAAATTTGGCACAGAAGGAATGACGTCATCTGATTTCCTTTTTTTTTTTTTTTTTTTTTTTCACGATTTCAGTGGACACTTTTTTTGTTTACTTAATGAATCATCAATTTTATCTCTCTGCCTACGAATGGAATTTCGTCTTGTGTCCACGGTGAACAGTCAACCAGTGACAAAGCTAATCAGAATAAGCTACATCAAAAGAAAATTAAGCTAACACGGTTCACTTTTTAAAACAGGCAAAATATAAATATATACGCTTTAGAATGCACAGTGGTTTAGTCACTAAGAAATTCAAATGGGATCTTGAAGAATGTAGGCAAATCCGGGGTGCAGTAAAGATGACCTGAGATGCTGTACAACCCTTTAAAGGCTCCTGGCACTACATCTCTGGACCACTAGCTGAATCTTGACATGGAAGGTTTTAGCTAATGCCAAGTAGAGATGCAGAAAATGCTAAGTTGACTTAGGGGCTGTGCACAGGAACTAAAAGACAGGCAAGGATTAAATATTGCTGACAGCATCCACCCCAGGAAAGAATTTACCTTCCAGGAGCTCTAAACTGGCACCACCCCAGTGCTCACATGGCTGACTTTATCCTCCATGTTCCATTTGGCATAGCAAGTAGCAGTGTCTCCACCACCTATGATGGTGATGCAGCCCCTAGAAGTGGTTTTCACCACCTCGTCCATCAGGGCTTTGGTTCCCCGGGCAAAAGCTTCCAATTCAAATAGCCCCACAGGACCATTCCACACAATCTACTTAGCCCGAGTGACAGTTTTCAGCATACTTCTTGCTGCTTTCAGGACCACAGTCCAAGCCCATTCGGCAAGCAGGTATGCCAGAAGCCACAGTGGCTTGGACAGTCCTGGCATTCTCATCAAACTTGTCAGCAGTGACAAAGTCAAAAGGCAAGGTAAACCTCACACCATTCTTCTCAGTGTTGGACATTAGTCTTTGGATTAGTTTTTGACAATCTTGGCTCCCTCTTCATCAAACAGAAAAGTGGCAATCTCCATGTTGCTGAGTGCCTTAAGGAAGGTAAAAGCCATTCCACTACCAATAATCATCTGATTGACTTTTTCCAGCATATTATTGACCAGCTGGATTTTGTCTGTAACTTTAGCTCCACCCAGGATCGTCAGGAAAGGTCACTGTGGGCTCTCCATGGCCTTGGCAAAGTAGTTTAGCTCCTTCATCAAAAAACCACCAGCCTTTCAGCAAATGCAAAAGAATGGAAATCATAACAAACAGTCTCTCAGCCCACAGTGCAATCAAGTTAGAACTCAGAATTCAAAAGCTAGCCCGGAACCGAACAGCTTCATGGAAACTGAACAACTTGCTCTTGAATGTTGACTGGATAAACAATGAAATGAAGACAGAAATAAAGATGTTCTTCGAAACCAACGAGAATGAAGACACAACATACCAGAATCTCTGGGACACATTTAAAGCAGTCTCTAAAGGAAAATATTTAGCAATAAGTGCCCACATGAGAAGCAAGGAGAGATCAAAAATTGACACCCTATCGTCAAAACTGGAAGAGCTAGAGGAGCAAGATCAAAAAAACTCAAAGTCTAGCAGAAGACAAGAAATAGCTAAGATCAGAGCAGAACTGAAGGAGATAGAGACACAAAAAACCCTTCAAAAAATCAATAAATCCAGGAGCTGGTTTTTTGAAAAGATCAACAAAATAGACCACTAGCCAGATTAATAAAAAAGAAAAGAGAGAATAACCAAATTAATGCAATAAAAAACGATAAAGCGGATATCACCACAGATTCCACAGAAATCCAAACCATCATCAGAGATTATTACAAACAACTCTATGCACATAAACTAGTAAACCTGGAAGAAATGGATAAATTCCTGGACACTTGCCTTCTCCCAAGCCTAAACCAGGAAGAAGCCGAAACCCTGAACAGACCCATAACAAGGTCTGAAGTTGAGGCAGCAATTAAGAGCTTACGACCCAAAAAAACCCAGGTCCAGACGGGTTCACAGCCGAATTCTACCAGACATACAAAGAGGTGCTGGTATCATCCTTCTGAAACTATTCCAAACAATACAAAAGGAGGGAATTCTTCCCAAATCATTTTATGAGACCAACATCATCCTGATTCAAAAACCCGGCAGAGACTCAACAAGAAAAGAAAACTTCAGGCCAATATCCATGATGAACATAGATGCAAAAATCTTCAATAAAATACTGGCAAGCCGATTGCAACAGCACATCAAAAAGCTTATCCACCATGATCAAGTAGGCTTCATCCCGGGGAAGCAAGGCTGGTTCAACATATGCAAGTCTATAAACGTAATTCACCACATAAACAGAACCAAAGACAAAAACCACATGATTATCTCAATTGATGCAGAGAAGGCCTTTGACAAAATTCAACAGCCCTTTATGCTATAAACACCCCATAAGCTAGGTATTGACGGAACGTATCTCAAAATAATAAAAGCTATTTACGACAAACCAACAGCCAATATCATCCTGAATGGGCAAAAACTGGAAGCATTCCCCTTGAAATCTGGCACTAGACAAGGATGCCCTCTCTCACCACTCCTATTCAATATAGTATTGGAAGTTCTAGCCAGAGCAATCAAGCAAGAAAAAGAAATAAAGGGTATTCAAATAGGAAAGGAGGAATTCAAATTGTCTCTATTTACAGATGACATGATTGTATATCTAGAAGACCCCATCGTCTCAGCCCAAAATCTCCTGAAACTGATAAGCAACTTCAGCAAAGCCTCAGGATACAAAATCAATGTGCAAAAATCACATGCATTCCTATACACCAATAACAGACTTAAAGAGAGCCAAATCAATAATGAACTGCCATTCACAATTGCCACAAAGAGAATAAAATACCTAGGAATACAACTAACAAGGAACGTAAAGGACCTCTTCAAGGAGAACTACAAGCTCAATGAAATAAGAGAGGACACAAACAGATGGAGAAACATTCCATGTTCATGGTTAGGAAGAATCAATATCGTGAAAATGGCCATACTGCCCAAAGTAATTTACAGATTCAATGCTATCCCCATCAAGCTACCAATGACCTTCTTCACAGAAATGGAAAAAAACACCTTAAACTTCATATGGAACCAAAAGAGAGCCCACATAGCCAAGTCAATTCTAAGCAAAAAGAACAAAGCGGGAGGCATCACACTACCGGACTTCAAACTATACTACAAGGCTACAGTAATCAAAACAGCATGGTACTGGTACCAAAACAGAGATATAGACCAATGGAACAGAACAGAGGTCTCGGAGGCAACACAACATATCTACAACCATCTGATCTTTGACAAACCAGACAAAAACAAGCAATGGGGAAAGGATTCCCTGTTCAATAAATGGTGTTGGGAAAGCTGGCTAGCCATGTGCAGAAAGCAGAAACTGGACTCCTTCCTGACACCTTACACTAAAATTAACTCCAGATGGATTAAAGACTTAAACATAAGACCTAACACTGTAAAAAACCTAGAAGAAAATCTAGGCAAAACCATTCAGGACATAGGCGTAGACAAGGACTTCATGACCAAAATACCAAAAGTATTGACAACAAAAGCCAAAATAGACAAATGGCTCAAATCAAACTCCACAGCTTCTGCACAGCAAAAGAAAAAGTCGTTAGAGTGAGTTGGCAACCAACAGAATGGGAAAAAATTTTTGCAGTTTACCCATCTGACAAAGGGCTGATATCCAGAATTTACAAAGAACTAAAACAGATTTACAAGAAAAAAAACAAACAAGCCCATTCAAAAGTGGGCAAAGGATATGAACAGACACTTTACAAAAGAAGACATATATGAGGCCAACAAACATATGAAAATATGCTCATCATCACTGGTCATCAGAGAAATGCAAATCAAAACGACATTGAGATACCATCTCATGCCAGTTAGAATGGCGATCATTAAAAAATCTGGAGGCAACAGATGCTGGAGAGGATGTGGAGAAATAGGAACACTTTTACACTGTTGGTGGGAGTGTAAATTAGTTCAACCATTGTGGAAGACAGTGTGGCGATTCCTCAAGGACCTAGAAATAGAAATTCCATTCGACCCAGCAATCCCATTACTGGGTATATATCCAAAGGATTATGAATCGTTCTACTATAAGGACACGTGCACACGAATGTTCATTGCAGCACTGTTTACAATAGCAAAGACCTAGAACCGATCCAAATGCCCATCGATGATAGACTGGACAGGGAAAATGTGGCACATATACACCATGGAATATTATGCAGCCATCAAAAACGATGAGTTCGTGTCCTTTGTAGAGACATGGATGAACATGGATACTATCACTCTCAGCAAACTGACAGAAGAGCAGAAGATCAAACACCGCATGTTCTCGCTCATAGGCGGGTGTTGAACAGTAAGAACACATGGTCACAGGGAGGGGAGCACTACACACTGGGGAAGAGAGGCCTACCAGAGCCCTAGAGGAGCTGCTTCCCAAGTGTTTTTGTGAAGCGGATCCACGCGGTACATAAGGATAACAACTACTAAGACAGCATGAACAAGAAACACTGAAACATCTTGTTGACAAAACACAGTGGCCAGTGTATTGACAGGAAATATTTAACACCTGTGTAACCATGAACCAGTTTTTTCTAGCACTTTTGTGATAAAATTTTATATGTGTGAATAAGTATTATAATTTTATTTTATTTTCTCTTAACACCATTTAATAAAATATTATAATTTAAAAAAAAAAAAAAAAAAACACCAGCCTTCAGTGGCAGACTGGCTCCTACCATGGAGCTGTGGGCTCTGTGAGCAGTGCCAAAAGCATCATTGATATAGACATCCCCTAGCTTGGAAAGTGAAGCTCAGAAAGCTTCTATTTTGGCTAGCTCGGCTTCAACCTTGTTCCCAGAAGCATCTTTTCCCTTCCCTTCTTCCTCCACATGAAAGCGGAGGTTCTCCAGCAGGATGACAGACCCAGCAGCTGGGTTGGCACAGGCTTTCTCCACTTCTGGGCCTGCCCAGTCCTTCAAGAACAGAACATCCTTGCCCAGCAGAGATTTGAGTTCTACAGCAACTGGCTCTAAGGAGTACTTGTCAGGCATAGGGACACCATCAGGCCGGCCTAGGTAGCTCATAAAAACTACTGACTTGGCTCCATTGTCCAAGCAGAATTTGATGTTTGGGACAGTAGCCTCAATCCTCTGGTTGGTTGTTGTCTGGTTGTTCTTCATAGGAACACTGAAGTCAACTCTCATAACGACCCACTTCCCTTTTACTTCCAGCTTGTCCAACATCAGCTTGTTAGAAAGCCACATTTTGGAAATACAGTGGGGTAGAGAGGTCGGTGGTTCAGACACCAAGGGAACCGGCTGCCGACATGCACTCGGGAGGCTTGCAGAATCCTGATTTCCATATTTTAAAGGATGTACATGTTACTGGTTGCCAGGGATAATGAATTATAGGCAAGGAAGAAAGCAAGCAATGATACCAGGTAAGAGATGATAGTGGCTCACAGTAATCGAAGCAGTGGGCAGTATTAGAAGTTAGCATGTAATGTGCAGTAGAGCTGACAGGAATTGCTAATGGATTCAATGTGAAGGAAAAAAGGGAAAGGGCTAACCAAGGATGATTAGAAAGTTCTTAACCTTAGCAACTGGATGACTTATGCTGCCAATTACTTAGATGGGGGAGACCAGAGTAGGAGCAGGTTAAGAAAGAGTAGGGGATCAATAGTTACGTTTTACATAGTGTAAATTGAGATGCCCATGAGTCATCCAAGGAGAACTGTTGAGCAGGAACTTTGATATGGCAAAAGAGAAAAGATACCAGTCTTAGATAAATTTGAAAATCATCTTTAGCATTTAAATGATATGTAAAACCATGAAATTTAATGAGATCACACAGGAAAAGAACACGAACAGAGAACAGGACTAAGAAAAAAGCTCTGGAACCTTCTGACGTGTAAAGTTGGGAAGAGAAGGAAAACCAGGAGAGAAGACTGAGATGGATTATCTGGTGAGATTAAAGGAAAATCTGGTATTCTGAAAGCCAAATGAATAAAGTGTTTCAAGAAGGAGGAATTAGTCAACTGTGTCAAATGCTACTCACAAACTGAGTATGATGAGAACAATGTTGTAGCTATTTGGTTTGGCCTCATGGAAATTACTGGCAAGCCTGACAAAAGTGGTCTTAGTGGAGCAGCGAGGGCAGAGGCCCATTTAGAATGGGTATCATCTCCATGCTAGCAATTATTCCACTGAAGGTATTTATTTGTTTACTTATCTATGTCTCCACTTCTCCTCTGAGGCCAGGCAATGTATCTTAATTTCACCAAGCACAGTAACTGGCACATAGTAGTTATCTAATCCATGTTTACTATACTTGAATTTAAAATTTCACAACATTCACCTTGCTCACCCATTTCAATGTACTGTGGCATAAATCTAAGAACACCTTGGATCTTCCACTGGCCTTATGGGAATCCTCCACGTGATAACTTCCTTTACAAGTTCATTGCCATCTTATCAAGCCTGGGTTTGTAGTTTGTGCTCAGAGAGGGAATTAAGCCTTCCCTACAAACTACAAACTACAAACCCTGGCTGCTTTTAAGCTCAGAAGTCAGGAGAAGTTTACTTTTATAGAGAGAAAAGTGGACATGCCAACACTTCTGTCCTTCGATATCCTCTTTGTGTCTAATCACCACTCAAAAGCTAAGGGAGAGCCTCAGTACTGACCTTCGCTTTCATCCAGGGGAGAAGTATAGAAAACCGTCCTTTCCCGCTGCAGGCGCTTTGAAATCGTGATTGGTTTGTGCCTTCTTGCTGTCACCCGAGGCGGAGGCACTGGAGGTGCAGCACTTTCCTCAGGTGGACCTAAATAGATCTGCGGAGAAAGAAGGAAGATATCTAGAGAATAATTTGATCAAGTTTTTGTCTTTTAAATGCTACCCACCAGTTTATGATTGCTGGCCTTATATCTAGAGTCTACCACATGAATAGTAATATGATTCAAAGAAGCAGAGAGATTTTCTTAATCACTCTAGCTACCAGTCAGTGTTTAGATATATCCTACCATGCTCAAGGTACAGAATCTGGCACTTCTCAGTGTGGAAGAAAAAATGCATATAAATGATGGCATCAGTCCTGGATTTTACACTTCCTTATTGGGAGACCTTAGGCAAGTCACCTTCCTTCTCTGAGCCTCAGCTTTCTCACCAGTCACATACAGACAGCATCAGCAACTTCACAGGGTGTGGTAAGAATGAAATGAAAGGGGCTGTTGAGGTGCCTTCTGTGGGTGGTAGTGGGACATGGAAGGAGACTAAACATAATTACATGCCCATAGACACATATGCCCTCAATAGTACTGAAGGGATACCAAAGAATTGAATCGATTACATTGTCTCAGGGTAGGAATAATGATTGGCTGGGGAATAGAGGGAGAACAATGGAGTCTTCCCTCCTATGTCACTTTGTTCTTTTATAATTTCATGCCGTGGTACATTATCTCTCCAATAAAAAAGTAATAAAATTAAAAAGCAACAACAGAGTGCCTTGGATGCTATAAGAAGTGCTGAAGGCATGCAGACAGAGCTGTGATTAGAATTTTTATACAATGTCTCATGTGTACCTAAGGATTTTCCAGTCTCCATGGAGACCTACCTTTCAGCCAGAATGCACACACTTCGGGTTGACACACATATGTGATGGAGAAAGGGGAACACTGCCTAGCCAGTGAGACTAACAAAATGAACCCCAAAGATTAGTGTAAAGAGAAATGTCAAAGCCCAATATCCCATCAGGCAAGGGTTAACACAGACTACACAGGCATGGAAATAACATGATTGAGAACACAAGGCAAACCTGTGTAAAAGCTGGACAATGATAAGAAACAATGCATGAACAATCACAAGCCATGAGTATATGCTTCATGATAGTGATAAAGAAAAAATGTAACTTAACAGCAAGCAGATTAATGTTGAGGTCATACAGTTCTAGGTCATATCCTTAATTCCGCCATCATTAGTAATAATAGTCTAAAGAGCTACCATTTTGTGAGCATCTGCTCAAACACTATAGTAGTTGTTACAAATATTCCTTGCTATTCGTCAAATACATGAGACCTTTGCACTGACTGTTTCTTCCACGCAGACTGATCTTCCTCTAGATATCCATTCTTCTAGATCTTCCAGATATCTAATCAAATATGCTCTTCTCTGTAAGCCCTTCCAGGTCAACACACCGAAAACACTGACATGCCTCCCTCCACCCAACCCTTCCTATCTTGCTTCCATGTTTAATTTTTTTCTCTTCAGCATTTCCTATCACTTTCTAACATAGAACATGTTTTACTTATTGATTTTGTTTGCTGTCTGTCTCCAAGCTAGATTTTACACAATATAAAAGCATTTCTGTCATATTCACTGCTTTATCTCTTCCACCTAGAAGAGGGACTGGAATTGCTGAGTCAAAAGACAAATACATTCACAATTCTAATGTAAAAGGCCACATTGTCACCTAAAAACACTACTACTACTAACAGCTACCAACTACTACTACTAAAATGCTACTACTAACAGCTACTTCTTATTCCGGCCAAGATAGGGCACAAAAACTAGTTTTACTTGTTCAGCCTGAAACAAGTAAAAAACAAACAAAAAAAGACTAGGAAAAATACATGCTACAACAGTTTTAAAGGCATTGGAAATCCAGCAGTGAAGGACAGTGAATCCTGAGAGACAGAAAGTAAACCAATGAGGTCAGCCCTATGATTGTCCCAGCTTGGAGTTTTGCAGGCCACAGTACAGGGAGGGGAATCCAAGTGGATCCGAGTAGTATCCCTACATGGAGAAGATTGAGTTGGGAGTATGGGAAAGGCAAGGAGGTGAGAGTTTGTAAGGTAAAGGCCAAAGAGATGTTGTACGCTAAAATCTTCAAAATATTGCTGAGAAATATTAAGAAAATCTAGATAAACAGTAATATATTTTATTCACAAGTAGAAAGACTCAATATTGTTAAGGTACAAATTCTCCCAAAATTAATCTACAGATGGAACACAACCCAAATATCAGTAAGCTTGTATACAGCCATTGACAAGCTGATTCAAAAATGTACCCCTGTACATGCAAAGAACTTAGAATAGCCAAAATAATCTTGAAGAAGAAAAACAAATTTGGAAGGCTGCCATTACCTGAGTTCAAGTCTTATTATGAAGCTACAATAATTAAGACAGTGTGGTACTGGCGTCAAGATAGATGAATAGATCAATGGAACAAAATAGCCCAAAATAGACCCACACTTATGTAGACAAATTTATTTCCTTATTTTACAAAGGCAATTCAGTGGAAAAAGGACAGCAATGGTACTGGAATAATGTGACCTACACAGGCAAAAAAAAAGGAACTTCAATTCATATACCACATAAGAAAACTAACTCAGAATGGACTATAATCAAATTTCAAAGCTGAAACTATGAAATTTCTGGGAGAAAAAAATCTTTGTAATCTTAGGTTAGGCAAAGATTTCTTAGATGCAATGATTCATAAAAGAAAGAAATCAATAAACTGAACACCAAATTTAAAAACTTATGATTTTCCAAAAGACACTGTTAAGAATGAAAAGAAAAACAACAGGCTGAGTTAAAATATCTGTAAATCATATGTCTGATAAAGGACTTGCATTTTATATATATATTATATAAAGGACTCCCAAACTCAATAACTCAATAAAAAAAAAGTAAATAAGTTTTTAAAGAATAAGCAAAATATATTTAAATACATACTTTACCAAAGAAAGCATATAAATGGCAAACATAATAAAGAACACATTCATCATCATTAGGTCAATAGGGAAATGCAAGTTAAAAGTATAATGTGATACCACTGTACACCTATCAGAATGGTTGACATTTTTTAGAGATTGACCATACCACATGTTGAAAAGAATATGGAGGAACTAGAACTTTCATTGCTGATGGGAATGTAAAATCATACAATGTCACAATGAATTAAAAAAAAGAAAAAAACACCCAATGAAATAGATCATTTGAAGGTCCTATAATCATTAACAAATTTCAATTCAGAGTTTAAAAACTTCCAAAGAAGAAATCTCTAACTGGAGGATTTCACCAAACATATACAACATTAACATGAGTTTTATAGTCTCTTCCAGAAAGTATAATGGTACAATTACTTAGGAAAAGAGTTTTGCATTTACATAAAAAATTAAATGTGTAATTACTATGTGACCCGGTCATTTCTACTTTTTCATGTTTACTCAAGAAGAAAGAAAACATATAATCATACAGACTGTACACAAATGTTTGCGCAGACACAAACTGGACACAACCCAAATGTCCATTAACTAGTAAATAGACAACCAAATTGTGGTATATATGATGGAATACTACTCAGCAATAAAAAGGAATGAACTACTGACTCATTATAACAATTTAAATTAATCTCAGAAAAATTATGCTGAACCAAAGAAGCCAGAACAAAAAAAAAGTATATACTACATGACCCCGTTTATACAAAATTTTAGAAAACACAAATTATACTGACAGAATGGATGAGTGGTTGCCTTAGGTAAAGAGTATAGCATGGGGGTAGGTTGGAGAGGGGAGGATTTGAAAGCGACAAGGAGAAACTTTTGGGAGTGATGAAAATGTTCATTCTCTTGATTGTGGTGATGGTTTCATGGGTGTATACATATGTCAAAACTTATAAAATTGTACACTTTAAACATGTAGTTATAGCCCTATACCTTTATAAAGCTAGTTATGAAAAGATCATAACAATTTATACTCACACCATCAGTTTGAAGAGCACCTTTTTCCTCACAAATGTTTTTTAGCAATATCTCTATAATAAGATCATGAAAATATTTTTCTAAGTACTATTTCCTAATTTTCACGTTTGTATATATCTTGCTTGGAATTTATTTTTGTGTGTGGTGTGAGATAAGAGATAATTCAGTTTTACCAAATGAATAGTCAATTTTCCACATTATATTTCTACTATAAAATATAAAACAACACAAATAGGCTTTCCTAAGCAAAACAAAAACATAGGAGCTATCATGGAAAACAATGACAGCCTAGACTTATAAACATTATAATTTCTTCAAGGCAAAAGATACCATTAAAAAGTCTCAGAGTAACCAATAAATTAGGGGAAAATATTTGCAACACACATAATAAATTAGTTAATATCAAGTAAGTAAGAAAAAGACTAACTGCCAACAGAAAAATGGGCATTGAAAAAGACATGCAAAGGAAAAGAAAATGAAATAGCTAATGAACATAAAAATCAACTTCACTAATAATTATAAAACTACAATTTATTTTGCCTGTTAGACTGATAAATTAAGAAAAATTGATATTGTCCCAAACTGACAAAGAAGTGGTAAAAACTATCACTTTTATAAGCTGTTATTGGGAAGGTGATTTGGCTTAGCCATATTGGGGGTCAATCTGGTAGTAGCAATCATGACTTTAAATATGCATGTCCTCTGATCTCACTACTTTTAGAACCCCTATTGAGCAGAAATCCTGACACATACACACACTGATATTTATACAAGTTCCATGTACCATTAAGAAAATAATAAAACTACATAAATAACCATTAACATGGGAAGGTTACATAAATTGTGGTTCACTCACTGAGGAATATTACACAACTGTTAAAAGGTAGCGATATAGATTTGTAAGAACTAAGGTGGAAAGATTAAATATTTTAAAGTAGAATAGTATATGCAGTATGATATCGTTATTCAAAAATAGCTTTGTGTGTGTATGCATGCACTGTCCTTTGTCATTTATAATTGCAAATAAAAGGGTCTAGAAGCACACACATTAAATTGTTAACAATCACAATGATA